CTTCTGGGAGAGAAGTTGCAATCCTGAGGTAATCTCGGTTTTCTGGAGCATAAATGTATCTAAAATTGCTTCATGTAATCCCTCATTTACAACGATGAAGAGGCCTGATTTGCCATAATTAATCTTTTAGTCTTTAAAAAGGTGCCACAAGCTCCATTGTTGTAAAATATACGACACCCCTTTCCTAAAAGAACGGGAAGATGGCCAGATAGGCAGAACACTTGTTTCTAGGTCGTTGAAAAGGCTTACTCTGGAAAAGAAAGAAACGATTTTGAGCTGAGAAATACTTAGTATTCCCAGGAAGACCATTCCCAAAGAAAAAGGATGCATTTCGGTGTGCGTGGGCGCCTATGCCTGCGTTACTTGCCTGGGTAACCTTCTACTGAGGCCTCAGAGATGAAAGTACTCTGGTTCTATAGGGTGGCATTACACCGAGTTACTCTTCCGTTCCTAACTGGATCTTCCACCCAGCCTTTCCATGCCGTCCTCCCTACAGGTGGGAGAACCTGGGTCTCCAGCTGTGGGTGAGTTCCGATTGATCCGATCGCCTTAAGGATTCCGATGAACGGGCGGGAGGCGAGATGAAGTCAGAAAGGGCCTACAAAGGCCTCTTCCAATCTCCGCCTAGCCCAGGGCCTGCGTGCTTTCCGGAACAGGAAAGGGGGCAAAAGGGGCCAAATACAAAGAAAGGGATCCTCAACTATAGAGGAAAAGCGCGGGGGGGCGGGGGGGGAGGGGAGGAGAGCTGGGGATTTTTTTGCGTTCAGAAGAAGCTCTCGGCAACTTCGCTGAGATCGGCTTTCCACAAGCGCATCTTCGCTTGCTCTGCAAACCAACCCCCTTCGTGGCCAGTTTAGTTTCGGAGGTAGCACCAAGCCCACCTCGCTTTAGGAATAAGGAGGGGATCCAAAGAGAGAGAGAGAGAGAGAGAGGCGAGCGAGGAGCCAGAAGGGGGCTGGGGAGGAGAGTTGATTTTGCTGTCAGAAGTTCGGTCAGCCCTTAACTGAAATGGGTTAAATCCTGCCCTGATTGCGCAAGGGAAGGCAGAGGCAAACGACCACAACGGAAAGGAAAAAGGGACATTAAGCGCCCTGACTAGGGATTGAGCTCTGTTAAAGTTACTCAGAAGCACATAGGATTGGGCTGCGCGAAAGTGAAAGGAAAAACCTGGGGTACAGCTAATGGGAAAAGGGGGAAAAAAAGTTAGTTACCGTGAATCTCCGTGATCTACACACACCTTTTCATCTACCCACCCACACATTGCCGGGTGGGTAGATTCATTCGCTGCCTATCAGGAGTTCCCGCTCCCCACAATCTGCGACGTTTGGCTATGGGCTATGGGGTTTTCTCCTGGGTATGTATGTACGCAGAGGGGGGGGGGGATATGTATTTCCTGAGTATGTATGTACGCAGAGGGGGAGATTTGTGTAGCAAAACACCTGGCAATCGCCTCTGAGGTGATGAGCCGATGCTAAAGTCTGCGCGGGAGAAGCCAGAGGTCCCCCAATAATCTGGCAACAAGTTGCAGGCTTGAGTGGCAGCCGCGTACGTGTGCGAACGGCCTCTTCAGAAACACAACTTTTGAAAGGGGAACAGACGGAAGTAGTAGGCTGTCATTAAAATGGAATCTCGCGAATATAACAATGGATATATTAAAAATAACCTCCGTCCGGTAAAGAGTGAGAGTTCCTGGAAGTTCCAAATTTTGCACAACTCAAAAAGACCTGTCCGGCGTCCCCGGGGCTCTGCGTGGAAGAGATCAACCCCCACCCCCACCCCAGAGCGAGATGAATCCTCTAGACCACCCGCCAGTCTCTCTGCCCATTGGCACTAAGGGTTTAGGAAGCAGGTCTCTCACGGAAGACGGAGGGCTGGGGAAGAATTCGTGCTTCCTTCACTAGGAGAAGGCGCGAAGGGGGATCCGATCTCCACTGCACAGGAGGCCGGGGGAACCCGGCGCGATCCTGGCAGGCGCCCTTTGCTCCTTTCGCTGCTCGGGAGAAGCGGAGGGAGCCCCCTCCTCTCTCCTGCCGGCCTGGACACGCAGAGGGAGCCGGCCTGGAAAGGGAGAGGGTCTCGGCTCGCCAATGCGCTGGACTTAGTAGAAGCAGGGCTGGGGATCTGATCCCGGAGCCAGGAAGCCCCCGAGGCGCCAGGGCCCGCATCCTAACCTCGGAGGCTCGGAGAGAACCGCGGCGCTGCTGCTGCTCCGAGGATTAGTAGCCCTTCGCCGGTGGGCAGGGGAGTTGTACTGCTCCGAGGATTAGTAGCCCTTCGCCGGTGGGCAGGGGAGTTGTAAAGCTCAAGAAGGTTCCCCAGAGAAACTGGAGGGGGGCGCCTCCATTGCTTGTGTGTTTTTTTAAAAGACTTTTAACTACCAAGCTTTTAAAAAAAAAAGAAAAAAAAGAAAACCCGACTTAAATCATAATAAATGGCTTAATGTAAAAATGCCGCCCAATAATTGTTGTCCTTAAATGGGTAATTGATTTGAAGGTGTGTGGGGGGGGGAAGGGAGGAATTATTTTGAAACAGGTTTTTCGCCAATCAGTTGTTTGGTTGTGTTTCGAAGCAATCCTTTCCGGGGTTTGTCTTACCTTGGAAGGCGCCGAGCGAAGGCGGTGGAGTCCGCCCGCCAGGTCTTCCTAGCCACCCAACTGGCGGCTGTTAGGGGCCGTTTATTTAAGCTGAAAGTCCCCATAACTTGAAGCCAACAGAAAAAAAGATTTCGAGGGTTTTAAAACACAAGGTCGCTAAGAGTGTATCTTCAGGTAGTTAAAGCGCGTGTAGAATTTAAAAAAGGAGGGCCCAGTCTGTTAAACCGCTTTCCGTCAGCATAAGAAGTGAAAAATGAAATAATATAGGTGTGATTTTTCTTTTTTTTTGGGGGACCTGGACATGTCCCGATTTCCTTTGACCTTACTGAATGCAAGGAATTCTAGACCAGCTATTCCAGTTGGTTTTGTGTTTGTTTATATAAAGGCTGTTTTCTGAAAGGTTTGTGCTTTCCAAGTAACTCTGTTCTTTCTGTTTGAATCAAAATTAAGTTGTTGTTTTTTTTAAAAAAAATCAGAATTATACTTATTTATACCCAAGATTCATACCTATAATTACTTGTGTTGTATTTGGTTTTCTACTATAAAGTTTATTTGCTGTTTCAAATAAGTTGAGGCGTTTCTTACAATCAATGCTATAGCCTACCGCTTCGGAAGAAAAATACACTTCAACAAACACAATGAACTAACTAAAACTAGGAGAAAAGAAATTGGGCATGCACAATTAGGATTCCCAAAGTTAAAGATATTCCACACATAAGCGCTAACTTCAAGTTTCAGTTGTGGTGTGTTTTCATGAATTACCCAACAGAAGTGTTTGATTTAAATCAAGCACATAAATATTCGCATTTTAAAACGTTGGGTCGATAGGATTTTTTTTTCTCTTGCGGGTGTGTGTGTGTGTGTGTGTCTAACAAATTTTCTGTTTTTGCAAATCTGGGGATAATTCGTATGCCCCCCTGTTCTCCATCCTTTTGCTCTGCCTCCCTCACACCTGGTGAAATATCTTTGCTCAAAGTCTTAGCCACCGCCCTCAAGCCACTTGGGGTTATTTAGTGCCCGCTGCCGACTTTCAAATTTCGATGTGGGCCGGGCACTCGAGTTGGTGAAATCCTCGTGTTTTTGTTTTGTTTTGGAGGGGTTTTTTTGGGGGGGGGTTTGGTTTTTTTTAAAGAAGCTCCTCCGATAGAGGAGAGACTTGGAGTGGGGCTATCTCCAAAGTTATCGCAGAGTGAAGTCGAAAAGACCGTGGAGGGTGTGTGCGCGGGCGCGGGCGGGGGCGGGGAAAAAAAGAGGGGGGGGCCCGAGCGTCTTTCTCTTTGGCGGGTTCAGCACTTTTTAGCTGTTTGGAGCAAACGAGGGAATGGATTTTCCGGGGCCAATCGCAAGGCGAGACTAGACGCCGAGCTGCTGATTGGCTGGGCGGAGGTTCTTAGCCTGTGCGTAGCCCCTAGTTCATGTCTACTGAACTGAGTCCAGCTGGCGCCAGAGCTGACACAGGATGCTTTGGGGATGTTACAAAAAAAGGCCAGAATAAGTGGAGCTTGCCATCTGAGTAAGAGCCTCCATCCGACCCTCCTCTCTCGCGCTTTTTTTTTTTTTTGCATTTCCATCCTTTAAACAATCATCCGTCACCCCACTCCCTCCTCCTCCTCCTCCCCCCCTCCCGCCCCGGTTTACAACCTAAAGAAACTTTTCCAACATTTGGAGTTCGATTCAGTCTGCTTGGAAGATCTCCTTTGTAAGTATGTCGACGAGCTGAGTGCGGGGTTGGTGTGGGGAGGAGAGAGAGCGAGCGAGAGAGAGAGAGACGCCTGCTTTTGTTGTGCAGAAATAGAAATGCTTTCCAGTTTCCTTCACCCCCTTTCTACGAGTTTAGGATCTCTTGTTGGGGAAATGTCAGTCCGAACCCCTTTGTAGACAAACGTAGATCAAAAGACCTGCCTTCTATCTCGCCTTGCTGTGGTTAAAGGAGGTCGTTCTGGCCGTATTACTAACGGGGAGGGCAGCCTAATGAGGATGCGAAGACCGGGAGGGGGGATAAAGCGCAGTGGACGCCGTGGGATCGCTTTCGGCTGGGCGCTGTGCCCGCCTCCTCCTCTTCCGCGTTTCCCCCGAGTGGAGCAGCCTCTGCCGCGGTCTCTTCAGTGTAATAACCCCCTTCCAAAGGGCCGCCGTGTACTCATCGTTCCCTCCTTCTTACAGGTGGTGATCCCGAGTGTGTGGCGACCGGAACCTCTCTCCGCAGCTTCTCGCCTTCAAAGAGAGACACCTTTGCTTTTATTATTTTTTTTTCCTCTTCTCCCCTCCCTCCTTCCAAGGCCACCTCGCTACTTCTGAGATCTCTGCGATTTTAAGCCAAACGAAACTTAAGGCAAAACGGTTTGGGGGAGTTGGAGGGAGGCGGGGGGGTGGGCTAGGGGCGGAGTGGGAAGAAACCCCGCCGACATGGAGGTAGCTACGGACCAGCCACGCTGGATGGCCCATCACGCCGTGCTGAATGGGCAGCACCCGGAGAGTCACCACCCGGGACTGGCTCACAACTATATGGAACCGGCGCAGCTCCTACCTCCGGACGAAGTGGACGTCTTTTTTAACCACCTGGACTCCCAGGGCAACCCGTATTACGCCAACTCGGCCCACGCGAGAGCCAGAGTTTCCTACAGCCAGGCGCACGGTAAATTTCGCCTCCCCCGTTGCCCCCTTCCTCGCTTCCCGTTTTCTGCCTCGGCCTCCTGCTCATCTCGCTGGAGAAGCGGCCGGAAGGTTTCTGGCAAAGCAGCCATAAGAGAAGGAGGGTGTGTGTGTGTGTGTGTGGGGGGGGTGTATGTGTGTGAGTGAGCCAGGGTGGGCTTAATCCTAGAAAAGCCTTAGCTGGCCAGTTTGGGTGCTGCTTTTAATTGATGGCGGGGATGGGGTGGGGTGGGGGAGACTAGAAAAGGGAAGCGACGTCCTTGTGCGTGGAGGAAGAGAGGGTTATTAAATGAATTTCGCAGCCCACAAGACAGGCCCGTTTTCCGGATGCGAAGACTTAACGTAGTAATTTGAAACAACTTTTAAACGTTTGCCCTTGGTCAGCGTCCGTATAAGAACGGCGGGGGGTGCAAATAGCTCTCTTTGGAGACCAGGGTTGTTTTTTTTGCTTTTTGCAAACTAGGAAAACAATTCGCAAAACAGACACCCGGGCACCCGAGTACTCTCATGCCGCCTGTCTGCAAACCTCTCTGGGAAGCAGCAGCAAGCTTGTCAGCTTACTCCGGTTGACATTTTACTTCCCTCCACGTTCCAGCTAGTTTTGGCGTCCGATCGTGGAGCGGTGGGGCGGTGTAAGACGCCTGCCCGGCGCTGCTTTCCCTCATTTACGCTTCAATCTAGAGTGGGGCTGGGTGGGTAGGGGGGGGTGTCCCAGCTAGACTGGGAAGGGGGGGGGAGGAAAGAGCAGTGGACGAGTATACACATTTGCATGCTTTTCTCCTAAACCCCCCCCCCCCACTGATTTCCCGAGGAGGCCCCAGCTGCCTTTTGAAGCCCGGGTCTTGACAACCTTTTAAGCCTGTTTTGCGCGAGAGCCCGCAAAGAACGGGGGCCGCGTTTCGGCTGGCTCCCCTCCGCGGGTTCCAGAAACGCACCTCCTCCAAATTCGGACCCGTGTTGGGCGATTTGGGAACCGATCTTCGCGTTGGCGGGTCTGGGACGGAGGAGAGGTCCAGAGGGGTGGGTGGGGGGGAGGGAGAGTCTGCTTGTCCACCAAGCGATTCCCCAGCAGGAGGGGAATCTGGGGGGGGGGCGAGAGGGGGCGAGAGTGGGGAGATCGCATTGGAACCCCGGGCGTTCTGGCCTGGCTGACTGGCGCCTTTTCCTCCTCCTCCTCTTCCTCCTCTGCAGCCCGTCTGACCGGCGGCCAAATGTGCCGGCCTCACTTGCTCCACAGCCCCGGCCTGCCTTGGCTGGACAGCGGCAAAGCGGCGCTCTCGGCGGCTCACCACCACCACAACCCCTGGACGGTGAACCCCTTCACCAAGGGGCCCTTGCACCCTTCGGCGGCCGGCGCGCCGCCCGGCGCCCTCTCGGTCTACCCGGGCGGCGGCGGCGGCGGCGGCTCCGCCTCGAGCGCCGCCTCGGCCTCCTCGCTCACGCCGGCCTCGCACTCGGCCTCGCACCTCTTCGGCTTCCCGCCGACGCCGCCCAAGGAAGTCTCGCCGGACCCCAACGCGGGCAGCAGCGCCGCCTCGCCGGCCTCGGCTTCGGCCGGCGGCAGCAGGCAGGACGACAAGGAGCCCCTGAAGTACCAGGTGGCCCTGGCGGACGGCATGAAGATGGAGAGCGCCAGCCCGCTGCGCAGCAGCCTGGCCGCCTCCATGGGCGCGCAGCCCTCCACGCACCACCCGATCCCCACCTACCCTTCCTACGTGCCCGCCGCCCACGACTACGGCGGCAGCCTCTTCCACCCGGGCAGCTTCCTCGGGGGGCCCGCCTCGAGCTTCACCCCAAAGCAGAGGAGCAAAGCCAGGTCCTGCTCAGGTAAGACCGCTCACCCCCCCCTCCTCTCCTCCCCCCTTTTCTGAATGAGCTCGTCCGCCCTTTGGGTTGGGGATGGGGGCGCAGAGGTCTGCCTGTCTGTGCGTGTTTGTGTGTGTGAGTGTAAGAGCTGCTCTCTTGTACGGTGGCAATTGTTTCATTAACCCACGTATCAGAGAAGCTTGGAAACTTTTTTTTTTTTTGCATCTTTTTTTTTTTTTTTTTTTTTTTGCATCTTGAACCCTTTGCCCCTTGTCTTGCTGTCTCTTGGATAAATGTTGTTAAAGTGTATTAAATCCCCCTGTTGCAAATAACAGCCGCTGTATTGTTTAATAATAGTTGCAGTAATGTAAGGATGGGTCTGAGAAGGAGTTATTCTTCCTCGTGAAATGCAGGACTCCCTGGCGGGGGGGGGGGGGAGTTTATTCTGTTTAGATAATTCACCAAGTCAAGAATTGTACAGTATTTAAGCCGGTAAAAATTTGTACAAGTATTTAATAAGAGCAACAATTTTGATTTAAACGTTTTAGGCGTTATAACGTAGATCGTGTTTCTTTCCAAAATTAAAAATACTAGTCCTCTCCCCAAATATGTTTGACTAAGGAGGTAGTTAATTTTTTAAACACACACTAACGCAATCTTAGCAGAACTTAAATGAATACTTAAGTCCTATTATCTATTCAGCCCTAGTTTAATAATTCCAAATAAACGAATCACCACTTTGATCCTGTAACTGTAATAAAATCCAGGAAGATAACAATCATCATTGCAAGTATCCCTGGGCTTCAGGAATTGGGTCATTTCTTAAAAAAAACTCTACTCAAGGTGTAGTTAAATATGTTAAAGGATAAGGCTTAAAAAGGCTTTTGTGTGTCACTGGCCAGTTTTAAAATTTCTGAATCAGATTTGAATGGATTTCCATATTCCTACATTTTAGTGAGAACATGTAACAAAATTAAGTTATCAGCAGTCTTTCTGAGAGCACAAGGACATTTCCGGTTTATCTTTCATAATTTTAGTTTTTGTTAATTAGTTGGCAAGCCAGGTCTGTCTTTTTGTTCCAGCCATTGATCTCCATAGAATTCACTCATTGCTGGGCCCAAAAGCTGCCATAATCCATTAAAAAAAAAAGATACACAAAGTTTGTAGATCTGAATTATGCAAATAAGAATTTATATTGGTAAACCTCTTAACGCAACCCCATTAAAGTCTAGGGCAGTTGAATTCATTGGAAAACCCTGATATGGCTTATATTCTTTTGAGCGGGATCTCCATTATTGAAAATTTTAGTTAATTTATTACCTGCTTAATAAAGATGAACTTTATTGTAATTTTTTGTTAACTTACAATAAAGTTCCTCTTCGTTAAACAAGGGACTTCATAAAGACTCAGCTGTTAAGAATTGAAATTTACAAAGTCATTTTCTTAAAACCTCTACAGAACTTTGCTTCCTCCAAATCATATGAAGGACAAAGTTCAAATATAGTTTACATAGGAGTGCAGGCTTCCAAAGAACCTTAATTTAAATGATAACTTAAATGAATCCAATAAAACTGGAGGAATCTAATATGTGTTAGTTAACTCCAGTTCATCTATTTGTTAAACCTGCAACTTATTTGCCTGTCATTACCTTTACAGATTTCAAGCCAAATATGCTCTTATTACTTTTATTTCTTTTTAGAAAGACATTCAGTGTGATAAGTAACACTCACATGAAACCAAGCATAGACTATTTTTATATTAATGCAACTGTTGTTGTAGTGGCTTTATCAGTAAAGATGAAATTTACCGTGATATCAAAGAAAAACAAAACAAGATATATTTGCCCCTCTTTTCAACCTGGCTAGCAATTCAGAAACATGACTACTTTTAGGAACAATGCAAGAAAAGTGCAGGACTTTTTGTTGCTTCTCTGTTCGGATCATCATCCTCTTTAAAGAAATTCTGGAATTTTGTGTCATGTGCAACAGAGATAAAATATATTTCGGTGGTTTTTTTTTAGGTTTTTTTTAAAAATTCGGCTATTTTTATAAATTGCTCTCCGTTGCAACAGGAATCACTGGGACATTTGTTTTCAACCTTCCTCCCACAACTTCTGTCCTCCTTTGCCACATCTACAACTGTTTATTAGATGGCTAGTTTTCCTACGATCCTGACTTGTAGATGAAACTGGGGAGAGAGTTCGTGACCATTTAATGTTTTTGTAGCAAAAGCAAGACTCACGACAAGGCGACTCCTGCAGCTTCCTGCTTAAGGAGGGACAAAAGCTAGGAACTCCTGGCTTCCCAGAGGTCCCTCATTTTTCACTCCAAGCCAGGGCTGTTTAAAAAACCACCCACTCCATAGATTAAAGGAGACACAGACACAGCTGAACTTAGTATGGCCAGCTCAAGTTACTGCCAAAGTGTATTTCCTCTGCATTAAATACTGTATGATTTGCATAAGCTCTGCTCAAAGAATTTCCTTGCCCTCAAACAAATGAACTTTTAGTTAATATTCTTGCCCCCACCCCTTCTCCTTTTAAAAAAGACTCCTGTTGAACAAGCAGCCATGTTTAAGCATTTTGAGCCAGATCAATCTTAAGCCGATAACAAAGAGAATGCATAATAAATTAGATTTTGGATATGAGGGTATATGGAATGCCCAGAAACAAAAAGTTAATTGTGCTTCATTCTAAAGGGTGCAACATTTATAAGGGGGGAAAAAAAGAAAAAAGAATTGGGCAAGCCAGAGAAAGAGAATTTTTCTCTGACTCCAAAACATTAATGAACAAAGATTCTGTATTCTTGTTTCAGTTCCAATATTACTTCTCAGATGTTGGAGAGAAGAGGGAGGAAAGAACAGCTTATGACTCTACATTTTGGAACAGAGTCTGTTTTCTCATGTGGCAGCTGTAATAAAAATACCACTGCCTGGGTTAGACAGCATTATTGCTTGAAAATAAATGCTTGAAAAACTACATGTCCCTACCATTATTGTACATACTGTAAATGTTGTGTCACTGACCTGTCTTTTTCCTTCCCTTTTAAATAAATTGAATAATGTGCTGTTTTGATATCTGGAATCTACCTAAATGGACAATGCAAAAAGCTTTTGTGAATTTGTTTTTAAAGAAAGAAATCCGGTTTCTTCGTGTTTCCATTTAGAAGGCAGAGAGTGTGTCAACTGTGGAGCTACTGCCACCCCTCTCTGGAGAAGAGACGGTACCGGGCATTACCTGTGTAACGCCTGCGGGCTGTACCACAAAATGAACGGTCAAAACCGACCTCTCATTAAACCTAAGCGGAGACTGGTAGGTGCCTGTTTCTCTATCAGGTTCGGGGCAAAATGGTTTCATGGGACCACAAAATGCCTATGAAGGAAGAGGGTACAACCTGACCCATCTGTGGGGTTCGGTGCTGGCATGGAAGCCAGATACGGTCTGCACATGAAGGCTGTGTGACGGAGAGGTCACAGAATAGCCTAGGAACAAATGACTAGTCATTTACATGCCAGGATATAAAACAGTGGCTATTTCATATGGGGATATGTGTATGTATTTGGATACTCTTAGTGTACTCTTGACTACAGCTTTAGAAGTCCTGTGATTTGTTGCCCGTACAACGGATCTTATCAAGTAGGCTGCTGGTACAGACTTACATTGCCTCCCATGCTTATGTTCTGTCTGTCTGTATCTTTGCAGCACATTCCTGTCTGTTTGAGAGTATGTGCCCAATTAAATCGGCCTAATTCTTCCTGTGCATTATTCTGCCTCTTTTATCCAGAAAAGACAGCTTCAATTCATTTGACCTCTTGGACAGGTCAGATGTACGCTCAAACTGAAAGAATCACTCTTGCCTGCCCTCCCAGATGAAAAGTACAAAAAGTGACCCGAAGCAGAAAGTATTAAAAAATATATAAAAATAATAGATGAGTCAAAGCTGTTTCTGTCTGTTCAGTCATTATTTGGATGATTTTGTAGTCAGAGATTCCATGGTAAAACTAACATTAGCCTTCTTTAGAAGCGATCCTCTGATTGCCCTTTTCAAAGGCTGATTATTTTTCCATGGAGTCACCTATACTTTGTATTTTCATTTCGGGGTTGTTGATTTTTTAATTTTTGAAAAAAATTCTCAGCTCCTGGTAGTAGTTTCCTATCCGGATATCTGTATTGTGAAGATAAGGAAACTTTGTGTATCTGTTTCCTGGCTCTAAAAGCTTTAAAGAGTTTCTATAGGCAGGCCATGCTATTCAGGCAGTCTGTTTTGAAATTGCAAATATGCTCTGCTGTACAAATATTTGTTTAAAAAAGGAGAAAACACACACACACACACACACACACACACACACACGGAACAATGTGATTTAGGGGGGACCAAAAATGCCCTTGCTCTTTGGCAGAAGGCATTTTTCCAGAATGATTATAAGGCTGAAGGAACAGTTCTAATGATCTAATGCTGGGACAGGATGCAGAGGATTTTTGAGGGTTAGAACTTCAGGCGGGTGATTGTCTTAATGGCTTACTTTTCTTCTGAAGTGATTGACAGAACTAGAAAAATGTTGAGACAACAGGGAAATGTTATTGTCTCTGACAGGGCAAACTCCATGCTAGACTAAATGAGACAGGGTGCAGGACACTGGAATAAGGAATAAGGAAAAAGCAACCCCAAATATGCAAACATAGCTCTCTCTTTTTTCCACAAGTATAGCTTTTTAGCAGGTGAGTTGCTAGAGGTGTGTATGCGTGTGTTAATTGTTGGATCAGGGAGAAGGCAAATTTAAAATTCAGAACAAATCAATATAGTTATCATTCTCTTGTCTGCTGAAAAATAAGATGCATTTTAAAACCTGATTTTATCTTGTCGCATCTTGAAACAAGAAAAAATTGGAAGTCTAAATAGAAAGGGGACCATTCATATATCTTGTCCTAAGCCCATAGCCTGATAAGAGAATTAGGTAGCCTATTCTAGCAGGTGCCTCATTGCATCAATTGATGCACTGGTTGGCATCTCTTAATCCAGTGTTCCCAACTTTGGCCATTTGAAAATGTGTGGACTTCAACTCCCAGAATTCCCCAGCCAGCCATGTTGAAGTCCATACAACTTCAAGTGGCCAGGGTTGGGAAACACAATTTTAGACTCAGAAGTTCCTGGCAGCAGTAATCTTTTATGGGGTTCCAACAAGAAAAGGAAGCATACTTGATTACTTTAGGTATCCCCCTTTCTTAGACCTTGTTGCATTTCCAGTGGATCAGCTTAGTAAGAGTTCTCTGGTTTACAATCTTGCAGATTGGCACTAGCTGTAGATCAGTGGTACAGCACATTTTTTTCATGCAGATAGTTGGAAGTTCAATTCTTGGTAACTTAAAAAAAAATTAGTTAGATGCATAGGAGAGATTTTTCTCAGGGCCAAATTAGTATTTAAAGTAGACTAAACTATATGGATAAAACAGATGCAATTTGTTTTAAGGCAGTTTTTTACAAACAGCATCAGAAAACTGTCTTAGCAAAATAATATAATTGTGGCTTCTCCAGTGTATTCCTGGTCCCATTTAAAAAAAATTAAAATAGCATTCTTTCTTCTCCCATGTTGTTGTTTATATGCCGATTAATTCCAGTTAGTCTTATGTAGAAAAATTGTCAGAAGGATTATGTCTGTTATTCTCTCAGTTAACCCTAAAGGTATTTTAAATTCTGCTACTTGACATAGATGCCACATTCAGCTATACTGAATTTTTAAAGGGTCAGCTATATTCTACATCCTTTTAATGTGTGTACTAGTTATAGTCGTTGATTTTCCTTTCTTACTATTGAAGTGTATGATTCTACAATATAAAGTTGTACACAGCCTACTTTAGTGTGAGTCCCATTGAAACCAGTGGGATATCAGTAATAGTATCTGTTGAAGTAGAGGAATATTTTTTATAAATTTCTTCTTATTCTTGAATTTGTAAAAGAAAATTGTGCAAGATTCATGAAAAATTGAATGTGCAAAGTAGATAATTTTTAGAATATATTATAATGGGAGGGAAAGTATTAATATGTGGTATACATAGTAAAATTAGCCTCTCTTAACTGCCTTGTGCTTCCAGATTTTTTTAAACTTCAATTTCCATAATTCTCTGACATGATCACCATTTTTAGACTAGTCTTAATTGTCTTGTAGTGGAGGTTGGGCAGAATATTAGTACAATGTATTAACAAAGCCTGTTTTATGGGACTCCAAATTTAGATTAAATAAAGCACTTTCACCACATTTATCTGTGGATGCTTCACTTTGCTACCTCCCAGGCTCTCCTCCCTGTTCTTCAATCTGAGATTTTTGAAAAATATTAATATTTTAAAATGCACAGTTCTCATGCTTTAACGCCAATAGCAGGCTTCATCTTTATTTTCAAGAATGTGTCTAAGTCTCAGATAAAAAAGATGGCTTGTTGCATCATTGAGTTTGGGAGTAATCCTAGCTGCTCATCAAAAGGAGATAATAAACAGAAGAAGAATTTTGAGAAATGGAACTTGCAGATAGTTGGTTGCAGATAGTTGGTTGCATTCTGGTGATTGGGTGCCTTATATTTGATGTTTTCCCCTTTGAAGTGAATCAGTGAAGTTTTCTGAACCAAATCACCAAAATTCTCACCTCTTATGATAATGCCCTCACCATTTTCTCAAGGCTAGAAGGAACCCACCAGCCTCTAAACTTGAGAGTCTGAACTAAATGATGAGAAATTTGGTCTGATTTACATTTTCAATAAATCAGGGTTATATAGCCGCTGTGGTATTATTGCGTGGCTGCTTCCAAAATCAACACAGAAATTAATTTGATTTTAAAAGGCCTCTCTCACAGACTAAATATTTTATGTGGAGAAAAAACATCTATATTTCCACATACGGCCTCAAAGAGGGGACAAAAATATTTCCTGAAACAGGAACCCTTTCTTACCAAAGATTCTTTTGCAAAAGAATTTTCTTCTACTCTTAAAAACTTCTGAAATGACCCTATTGTTTTCAGGGTTATGGGTCACTCTGCCAAGTACCAATTTAAGGGGGGAAAGGCATTTTGTCTGAATGTAAACCTTACTTTCATGTACAAAATCAGTCCCCCCCTCCTTTAGGGCCAAGCAAGAATTAATGCAATTCCTATTGGAATTCATAGTAATCTTGCCATATATTAGTACAGCAATGTATTATTAGTACAGTAGTATTATTAGTATTATTATTTAAGCTGCTCAAAACTTCAGCTTGAATACAAAGATTTATAGAACAAATGAGCTAATCAATAGATGCTACTGTTAGGCTGGTATTTTTTTGCTGAAGTGTAGCAAATTCATGAGGGCCAGTTTCATTTACTTCTTTTAACGTACGAAGAGACAGTTATCTGTTATATATTAAAGTGAAAGCTGTAGTACAGCGGTACTAGCATCATCTTTACAAATATGGTAGTTATGTGGAAGAAAATATACTGAACGCTTTTTCAGTGCAGCATTATAGATCCCTGTTATTGCAATCGAGTTGCTGAGGCAGAGTGTTAAGTACCGGAACAAGTAGCCTAAATATTCCAAATCCTTAAATTGCAAGTTATTAAAATTAAATAATTAAATTTGTCTTTGAAGGGATTAAAGGACTTTGGTCCTTATTAATCAGAAATGGGGCATTTACATAGAGTTTAATTTACCTTGTTTTTATGAGTGATGGTGAAAATACACTCGCTAATTAAAAGTCTGATATTTGTAATGTCTTGGCATTTGAATATGCCATAAGAATAGCAAACAAATAAATGCAGAGGGGAGTTAGAGGCAATAAGACAGTGCGACATATTAATGTAATTAAGGTTCTGTATCCGGTAATGAATTTAAGGATTCCTGACTGGATAGAGGAACCTCATGATCACACCCAGCAGTCATGTAGATGTTCAACAGATGGGGCAAGAATACCAGGCCCTGAGGCACTGCACAAATGAGGAACTATAGGCTTGACCTCTCCCCATCAATGTTGACTACAGAAAAAGAGGAAAACCACTATAATGCTGTGCCCCCACTCCCAAACCCCACGGTTGGGATTGTTAGGTCCAGTGACAGCCTCTTATGGGACTATATCACCACCTCCTTCAAAGCCAAAAGAACAATACCCTCTGTCACCATCTCATGAATCCACCTGCAGGTCACCTCCTGGGCAGACTTAACAGCTCAGAGGACCTGGATCTCAAACCCAAGTGGCTTTGCTTCCAGTTCTGAGGAATCGTCCATTACTTCAGGAGGCAGAGAGTCAAATTTATGCTGGATAAACTCAAAGACCGTGCCCTAGGCTTCTCAGTCCAACTCTGAGTGTATCTGAGACTTTATCTTCTGGATGGTTTGAATATTCTTCACAGTGATCCTATAGGTTTTCTTGAGGCTCTTCCTCATATAAAGCAAGATTGACATTTTTATGCCCAAAGTTTCTTAGTTAAGGAAATTACGGTATATTCACCCATGCTTAGCTTTGTGTTCTGGTCCTTTAAGCAGTTTTCGCCTACTCCAGTTCTGAGGCTGGAAGTGAGGCTGGCTGGGAGAAAATGAGTTAAAATGATGAAGTGGAATAAGAAAAGGGAAGAGTAGTGTGTGAGTAGTTATCTGTATTGTTCTGCTGATTGGCCTACATATTCATTCTTTTCCAACTTGCCACTCTTCATGTGTGATATAATAGTTTTAAGAAGTTGAATTAGAATTCTGGGAATTGTAGACCCAATACACCTGGAGGGCATCAGAGGTGGAGAAAGCCAATGAAAAGAATAACCCTCTACAAGCCTGACACATAACTAGTATGAAGGTGGCTGACAGGCTCTGTCTCTTGATTTTTAGATGTGTTCTCACTTAGAGAACCTTAACTTTCTCTGATTTCTGACATAACCCTGGGGTTCTTCATGCATAGCTATAATTTACTATTCATTGACTAGTTGACTTCCCCTGCCCATGTGCAAAGGATGAGAGGACAACTACTTGGAAGGGGAGTGGGGAGACAGGGTTTCCTAAATGCCTAAAGCTATCCAACACTGGCAAAGAAATGGGGACAATAATAAGCACTCATCCCCTCTGATTTTGAGCTGGGTGTGGAATTCAAATTATCCACACTGAGTTTCCATGTATGTTTGAATGACAAAGCCACAAAGCAAGATAAAAAAGACAGAACTTTAAGAGAGGACGATTGAATATTTCATATCTAATTTAAAACTAATGCATCAGTTAAAACTGAAAGAACATCTTCTCCAATATATATATATTTTCATCTTTAATTAGTCAGCAGCTAGGAGAGCAGGAACCTGCTGCGCTAACTGCCAAACCACCACCACCACTTTATGGCGACGTAATGCCAATGGGGATCCAGTTTGTAATGCCTGTGGACTGTATTACAAATTGCACAATGTGAGTATTTTCTTGCCTTGTGTCTTCTTTTGCTTGCTTAGCCGAGATTGATGCCTTAACTGCCGGCTGTCCACTAGCCTCTGCATTCATTGCAAAGGGACATTTTGAAAAAAAAACACCCTTTTTTAATGTTCCCTGGGGAACTCATAATCATTCTTTGTTGGCATAGTGATGCTGGGTTCAATAACATTACAATGTGTTAGCTTGGCTTCTAAAGCCCAGATAATCTAGGCAAAAGAGAGTTATAACTCACAGTTATTGCTAAAGCATATTCATTTCTTCTCTACTGTACCCAAGAAATGCAAAGGATATTTAACACACATTTATATAATGAATGGTTTTTATGTAAGCTGGTGCTTCAAAACAAAACAACAATTAAAATTAATCTTAAAAATCCAGGCTAGGTTCAAGGAGAAAATATTGGATCTACATGAGCATACATATAGGGCAAGGTGAAGGAGTTTTAAAACTCCAGGTATGAAGTCAATGTAGAAATGTGTGCAGAATATTCTGTGTATATACAGACAGAGGTAGAGATTCATATGCAGATATGAAAGCCAGTTTGGTGTAGTAGTCATAGACACTGGATTAAAAACTGATAGATTATACATTGTAATCCAGCTTTAGGCATTGAAGCCACATGACGGGTTTGGGGTCAGTCACACGCTCAGCCCTATGAAGGCGGCAGTGACAAACCACTTCCAAAAAGATTGCCAAAACCCCCTGCATGAACCTGTCCATATAGTTGCTAGGAGTCAAGATTGACTTGAAAGTGTATGTACACCCCATACACACACAATATTTTAGGATATAGAGTCGCTTGATTGTTAAAAGAGCCAGGTTAAGGAAAGGAAGAGTGAAAGCAACCAGATTATATTGAGATTGGTGTGGTTTCCTCCAATAAATTTATAATTTATAAAACACAAGTTGCTTGGGAGAACAAAAGTGGAAAATATATAATGCTGGATCAGGGGGAGGAGGGCACGAAAGGACTGCTTCTCAGGGAAGGTTTAAGCAGTGTTTCTCAACCTTGACCATTTTAAGGCATGTGGACTTCAACTCCCAGAATTCCACAGCCAGCAATGCTGGCTGTGGAATTCTGGGAGTTGAAGTCCACATGCCTTAAAATGGTCAAGGTTGAGAAACACTGGTTTAGAGGGCTGTTCAAATATTTTTCTCTGTGTGGACAAAAAAAGATCACTTTGCTTGCAGGAGCCTGATTTTCTCATTTCTTTCAGGTGAACAGGCCCCTGACCATGAAGAAGGAAGGGATTCAGACCAGAAATAGGAAAATGTCCAACAAATCCAAGAAGAGCAAGAAAGGCTCTGAATGTTTTGAGGAACTGTCTAAATGCATGCAGGAGAAGTCCTCACCTTTCAGTGCTGCTGCCCTGGCTGGTCACATGACGCCCATGGGCCACTTGCCACCCTTCAGCCACTCTGGACATATGCTCCCAACTCCCACCCCCATTCACCCATCTTCCAGCATCTCATTTGGGCATCCACATCCATCCAGCATGGTCACAGCTATGGGATAGAGTTTAATGACTCTCACAGACTTCCAGCATTGCCTAAGATGACAGGAAGGAAAGACTTTTGCCCAGGAAAGAGAATATAAGGAAGAAAGAAAAGTAAAGTAAAAGGGGATCTTGTTCCAGTAGAATTCAACTCCTAGCGCTAAACGGAAACTTTGCAATGATGGGTCTTCTGCAGAAATGCTTAATGGTGCCTGTTATGCACTTTGCTCCCTCAGGTAAAAGGAGAAAGAGGAACTCATCTGTTTGATACGATACCTGCTTGCCCCAGTGGAAAGGAAGGGGTGGCCAAAGTGGTGAAAGAAACTAGAGCCAACTTTCCTTTCTCTTTGTTCATTACTGTGAATATTGTAAAGAGATTAGCCATCTCCTGAAGCAGAGGAAGTTCAGTAGTAGCCACCCCTTGCTGGATTTCTACCATGGATTGTATTTTGTGGGGAGGAAAAATGGACAACTTTATTAAAAAAAAAATCTACTTTTTAAGAAACCAGTCACACACACACACAAAAATAATTATTTATTTTGCTCTTGTGCTCCAGAAAGAGCTTCAAAACTCTTGCATGAATTTATGGATCTTTTATTTTATTTTTATTTCGTTTAAAGAAACATGCAACCTAGTAGAAAACAGTTTTTCTAATTATTATTTTTATTGCTTAATGGCCACATTTTTGTTTCTCTTCATGGCTGTTAGATTTTTATTTTTTTTAAAAGAAATCTACTAGGAAGGGGATATGTGTGAGAGAGGGAAGCGGTTGGCTTTAACATTGGTTACAGTGGTCTCAGGCATGGATTATTCAGACGTAATTTCTGCGGTCTCTTTCTCAGTGTGAATATCTTGATGTAAAAGTGTGGCATTCTACAAGAGAGCAGATACACTGGACAAATGGCTAAAAGGTTTTCCACAGGGAACAATCTTGCTGTGGCTGAAGAATAAAATAAAGGGAATCTGGATGTCTTTCTCATCATACTTCTTTTAAAAATGTGTGTGGACAGCTAGTGGGTTGATATAGGGCATTCCCACCTCAAACCATTTAGCCTGTCCCAAGGGCTTCTTCTTTGCTCTTTTGATTGCAAGTCAGCATAGACCACCAGGTAGCTTCTCATAACTTATTTCATTGTCTTAGCCCAGTATCTGCAGCTTGTTGTCCTCTCCCCAGTTAGGCTACAGTTACTATGTCCTCAGCCAATATGACTTATGACCATTCTGTTGGAGAGCAGGGACATCCCAAGACATCTCTCTATTGAATGCAGAGGAACTAAATGAATCGGTAGGTGGACCTTAACAATAATGTGGGGCCCCCAACTCTTCAGCTCCTTCCACGGCTCAGTCTGTTGTGTTGAAAATCTGGGCTAACATCTTGTATTAGGACTCCCAATTTCTCTTCCAAGGCATTTCTCCCATTAGGTTTATTACCCGTATTATGCAAAGACAGATGAACAAGTTAATGAACTGCCATACACAGACCAACCAACTCAGTGGTGGCCATTGCAGCAGCTATATTCTATAGCAGTTGTCTTCTGCAGCTTTTCCTTTTTTGTCTGTAAGATTGTTTAATGGGAGGTGCCAAGTATTGAATCTATGACACCTTTGACATACAAAACACCTATGCTACTAGGTAACTGTCACCCTTTCTTTAGGACAATGTTTCTAAATCTTTAAACAGAACTTTTAAGTTTGTAGACCAGCTCCCAAAACTTGGTTTGTAGACCAACTCCCAGAATTCCCCAGTCAACTGGCTGGCTGGGAAATTCTGGGAATCAAAGTCCATATATCTTAAAGTGCCAAGGTTGAGAAACACTGCTCTAGAGGACTATGTGGAAAGATTAAACACATAATTCCATTTCATGGCAGAAGGAAAACCCTTTAAGACAAACAGCTCAAAAGGAACGCTCATGGTGGTTCAGTTTAATCTGTTTTCCAAAGAAATTTGTCCAAGAGACATAAACATATAGTTCATCTCATACTATCTTATTAACATTTTGGCCAAGCAGAGATGGAATTGGCCACCTATAGGCACAGATGTTGTGACAAATGATCTGCTTGACTAGAAGTGAAAAACAAGTAAATGAAGATCTGCAAGACAGGGGGAAACAAAGATATTTTCAACTCTTCTGATAGATCAGATGTAGCAACATCAAGAGAAAGTGAACTGCTCATGGGGAAAATGGGGTATATGGTTTCCTATAGCATATATATATATAGGTAGATAGATAGATTTGTTTTTAAAGAAAATCACAAGTGTTCAGAAACAAAGTTGTCTCCCATTCTGAAACCATACTGTACGTAAACAGCTGAAAATAAAGCTCTTGCCAGTGTGAAATGTATTCTATTGATTGTTATGATCTGATGACTTTCATGATCACAAGGTCCAATATAACATATGATGTACATATGTAGCTATATTTCTGATGAAAAAAAATGACCCCAATTAACAAAGGGGATTGATAATGTAAATCGCATAAAGCTAACTCTGTGGCAAGTTTTTAATTGTATTTTTTTTTTCATTTTTTTTTCAAGTCAAGCCCAACTTGTATCTTTAACTGCAAAAGTCTGCTTAAAACAAAAATCCAAGTGTACATTGTTTCTGCTTCCTCCTAAGTCTGTAATTCAGTTTTTGGTACAAAGGACCAAGCATTCCAAGCAAATGCCTTTTCTCACCATTTTGGTTTCTGTAGGCATAATGTAGTTGCACTTTGTGAAGAAATAGAAATGACAGAATGCCCCCCCACCAGAAAAAAAGCCCCACAAGAAACCCCTAAACCAAAACCTGAAAGAAATCCCACCTGGGATAAATATTAATTTCTGTTAGCCAAGATGGAAATTATTTACCCCTTTTCCTTGATTTGGGTGCATGTGTGTGTGTGTATGTGAGGAAAGGGAATTTTTAACGTATATGGTACAGTTATCCACCTTTTGTAGTAACCAGTTCAGATTCTGTGAGGGTCAGAAGTGGGTGGGAGTGTCTGGGTGAGAGAATGAGGGAGAAGATAATGCTAGGAGACAAATCCACCCAGTACGACTGCTGCCCTGTCAAAGGCGAGGCCTACTCAGGCCCTCCTATTAGGAAGACTGAGGCTGCACATCACAAATGCTTGCTGGACCAAGTCCAAGGTTGACAAAGTGCAATAGATTGTCAGTCACTGCAGCATAAAAGAACCACAGTCAGGATTTAAATTATTTTGTAGTTTTATCAGCATAAAGATTTGGCAGTATTTTCTGGTTTTGTTTTTTTTAAATTGGCTTAATTTTTGGATTAGTGAACTAAGTTATTGTTAATTATGTACAACATGTTTATATATTGTCTGTAAAAATGTATGCATCCCTCATATTCCTTCAAGGTGAATACTGCTAAGAATAATAATAATAATAATAATAAAAAAGATTACCCCCTTTTTGTGAAAGCAATTCTTGTTCTACTTCATGGATCCTGGATGTTCCTGTTCTTATGCAGGATGACCTCGCTTTCGTGATGCAGTAGCATTGGTGTAATGGAGATGGGCGCGGGGAGAAAGGTAGAATATAGAAAGTTATAGATGGAATAGAAATGGACGAAGTTCTAGAACAAGGTTAAAGTTTAAAAAAACAGTTTATGTCTGGAAAATGTCCCTGTGCAATGAAGATACATTAAACCTTCTTCAATATAGTTCCTAAGCTGATACTCAAGAATCCAAGTTAGGGATTGTCTTGCTAACTGGCTCAGGCTGTTTTATCTTGAAGAAGGTGGATCAAAAGATCCATGGTACTAAATTGAGGTGACCTAGGTAAAATGCCGTCTCGAAGACTAGTGCATATTCTGGGCTTACCATGTAGTTCCTTGGTTCTGGTGATCTTTCACCTCTGTTCTGAATGGCAGTGATTCTGGAACATTTTTTTAAAAGTGTTTTTAAAGTATTGAGAAAAATACAATTGTAACTGTGCCTAGCAATTTTTATTGTTTCGTAAGAGATGGAGGAGCATGGCACAGAGAGGAAGGACTTCTGTGAGTGCTAGAATTTGATTTTATTATATGTGTTTAATTTATTAACTAAGTTTATAAGGTTGACCAACTCCAACAATGTGACTCCAGTCAGCATACAGCACAAAAACAAATGATAAAACAACGAGAACACTGCATGAGTAAAAATGTGGCACTTTACTTCCTCCAGCGCTCAGTCTAGTGTAATTAGTTAAAAATGGTTGGAAACATATGATTGACTAGTACATATGCCTATTAACTTGAAAGAATTCTGGGGTTTAAAATTTAGACAATTACTATGTTCATAATAAAACATGAGTTTAAAGTTTCAAAAAATGAGATTCCAAGTCCCTTAATAAAGGAAAATTGTATATAGACTAAGTAAAGAAATAATCAAGCATTTCTCCTCGCATAAGAAAACCACATACATTATAGAGTATGATTCCTCAAATCCAGTGAGCCACAGACAAACAAAGCAGGCTGATTTGGAGGCCAGGGAATTTTAAAAAATGCTCTGAGAATCACCAGCCCAGGAATTGCTAGTAGCTGATTTTTGAATTAAGCCATTCAGTTATAATTTCAGTATTTTAAGATTTGTTTCTCTTTATAATTTGAGTTTCACTTGCATGGTTTCTGTCAGATATAAATTCCAGGTAGACAACCATTTTAATCTAATACATATTCTGATTAGTGTAGTTTTACATTTGCATTTTAGAACAATTCCTATTTCTCTGAAAACACACTTAGCTAACATTCAAATGCTCTAATTGTGGATTGGGTAGTAATGTAATTTAGAATTTGGCAGTTCTACCAAGAACATGAGCTTTCATAATGCAACATATTTCATCCTGTTTGTGTCTATTGGATGAAATCCAAAGAAACGGGATGAGCTGGAACTTAATCACAGTCTTAAGCATTTACGGCTTTTTTGTCCTAATGGGGATTTCAGTTGTTCCAGATTTCTTTGGACTGAATCTTAAATATTGGTGGTGCCAATAAGGAGGATCCAATCTTACCTCTTGCCTCCATGGTGACTTAATCCAGTGT